TGTGAGGAACAGGCCAATCAATGATTCTCTCTCATCATTGTATGTTTCTATCTCTCTCTTCCTCCCCCCCTCTCTGTGAAATCAATAAAGGTATGTTTTTTTAAAATTCTATATAATAAAAGACTAATATGCAAATTGACCAAATGGCAGAACAACCGGTCCTATGATGCACCCTGACCACCAGGGGGCAGACACTCAATGCAGGAGCTGCCCCCTTGTGGTCAGTGCACTCCCACAGGGGGAGTGCCACTCAGCCAGAAGCCGGGTTCAGGGCTGGTGAGCACAGTGGCAATGGTGGCAGCCTCTCCCACTTCTGTGGCAGCGCTAAGGATGTCCGACTGCCAGCTTAGGCCTGCTCCCCCTTGGACATCCCCCGAGGCTCCCGGACTGTGAGAGGGTGCAGGTCAGGCTGAGGGACCCCACTAAGTGAACAAATTCCATGCACTGGGCCTCTAGTATATCTATAATTTTACATTTCTATTATCACCAATTACTCGTATCAAAATAACTGTACTGGCCTCTTAATTGGCCTACCTAACTCGAGTTTATCCCTCCTCCAGTCTTTCTTGCATGGCACTAATTTTCCTTAAAAACTACATTAGATGAAATACATCACCTAACTTTGCTCAAAAACTTCCTTTGCTTCTGTTTTCTGCTTCTTGAACCTAGACCTCAGCTTGCATTTAAGGGCCCTCCATGTCCATCTGTACTCCCAGCATCTAGGACAGAAGTCTTCCACTTCTCACCTTCATTCATGGCATTCTGGCTTCTGAAAGGCTTTCTTCTCCTCTCTTTGTAACCGTCTTTCAAGATCTAATTCATAACTGCTGTTTTTCATGAAACCCTTCGGCTCTCAGAGCTCTAACTTTGAGCTTTGCTAATGCCAGTAGGTGGCATGATTCACTTTAACATTTTTACGATGGTCTTAACTCAGTCACAATTGTGTGTTATCATTTTGTCTGTCCAGCTAGTTCAGCGGTTCTCAACCTGTGGGTCGCGACCCCTTTGGGGGTCGAGGGTCGCCTAAGACCATCGGAAAACACATATAATTACATATTGCTTTTGTGATTAATCACGATGCTTTAATTATGTTCAATTTGTAACAATGAAAATACATCCTGCATATCAGATATTTACATTATGATTCATAACAGTAGCAAAATTACAGTTATAAAGTAGCAACGAAAATAATTGTATGGTTGGGGGTCACCACAACATGAAGAACTGTATTAAAGGGTCGCGGCATTAGGAAGGTTGAGAACCACTGAGCTAGTTGGTTCATTGAAAATAATCCCCAAATAACCAGATTATGTGCTACAAATATTTATTTTTAACTCTTTTGATTCTCAGAGAGTTGTGGTTGGAGATGCCTCAGAAACTGCTCTTTTGAAATTCTCAGAGGTGGTTTTGGGTGACGTGATGGAAATTAGAAAAAGAAACCACAAAGTAGCAGAAATCCCTTTTAACTCAACCAACAAATTTCAGGTGAGTTGTTCCTCACAACTGAATTTCTGTTATCAGGAGAACGACATTTCTACATGTAAGTACTCTTAGGTTAGTACGAATTTTGAATGATACTTAACTTTAAAAATAGTCCTCTGAGATGGATGGCCTGGGTGTCTAGTAAACCCAGAACAGGTTTTCTCTTGCTGGCCTCCTTCCTCTGCCTGAGGCAGATAGAGAAAAAAAATGTTGTCAGCCCGGCTTCTCCTACCTAGAACAATCTATCTCTATTACAGGCACATTCACTCACATCCTCACTCATTCACACGTGCCCCTGTGGGGTGACTTGCACAAATGAGGAGCAACAGCCAGAGCCCATAGGGTAAATGAAAGGTGGAGGAAGGGATAGAGCTAACTGTGTCCTCAGTCTGTGTCAGGTGCTTCATATACATTGTCTCATTGGTCCTCACAGTAAGCATATGAAATGGGACTAATTAATCCCAATTTATGGGTAAGGAAACAGACTCTGAGTGTGTTAATGTCACCAGGCTCATTCCAGCATCAAAGTGGCACAACCAATTTTCACACATCTGTTTGACTCCTGAGCACAAGCTTTTTCTACCATATAAGTCAGAGGCAGAACAGTTTTGCTCAGGCCATATGAGGAAGCCTTGCCTTTATGAAGCCAGTGAGGAGTCTCTCTGATGACCAGCCAATGGCTTTCCAGGCCTGTCCCATAGGGATCTTCTTTCCACTCATTTCTCAGGAAGAAAATGGCTGTCCTTGTCTAGTTGTCTCCCTCATTTTAGGGGTGGCCAACCACCAAACATCCCCATCCTTCCTGTGCTTGGAAAAATGACTGTGTAGCCCAAGGTCCTGCTGCCAATGGGCTTTCCAGTAGACTCCAGAACTGAGCATAGGCATTATGATTTTGCCTTGCATTAACAATAAAGTGTATAAATAAGATAGCCATGTTTGTGTCAGAGTTTCTGGTGATTATCCTACTATTTTGTTTGGATGGAAAAAAAACTGTTGCAAACATCTTTGTGGATAATGGGCCAATGAAGAATTGCAGTTAGCCAAACAGACAACCAACAAAAGTGTGAGATGTCAAATATTAAAGCCAGGAAATCAGATCTCTCGTTCAAAATTTTAGTGAAAATAGAATGAGTCACAATCCTAAAATAATAATAGTAATCATGTGTGCTAATTTCCACATGTATTAAATCACTCAATTTTCACCACAGCTCTGTAAGGTAGAGAGTGAGGCACAGAACTTTATCACACAGCTCTTGAGGGCTGAGCCAGGACTCACACAGACCCTGCAAAAAGTCTTTACTGGAGTAGATGAACTTCATCTACTCCAGTAAAGACTTCCTTCAGCATGTAAGAAATGAGAAAAAGCAGATCCCATGAGGCCTCATGTACTAAAGGTGGAAGGAGAAAATGAGCTAACCAGAGTTGGGACTAGAAAGAAGAGAGCGCTTGTGTGTGTTCCTGCTGACAAGGCCAAAACACCTCTTTGGATGTTGTTGGTGCCATTTGAACTTTATACTTGGGCAAAAATTAGCCATGAACAATGAGAAGTAGATGTTGTGACCTTGGAAAATTGTGAGGTTTCTGTCAACTGAAGGAAACAAAGTAGAAAGTCCACATCTTATTGGCCTTAGAATAGCAATTCACCAAACTGAGGCTGGTCCATGAAGAGATTTTCAGTAGTTTATGACAAATTGGATTTTTAGACAATATTTTATAAAGTTTTATGTAAAGATGAATGTGTTTCATTTAAACAATTATCCTTTACATCCTACGTGATCAGGGTGGGGCCTCGAACCTGCCAGCCTGAATCAAACCCCAGCTCAGCCACCTGTTAGTGTGTGACCTTGCATGAGTCATTTAACCTTTCTGCACCTGAGTTTCCTGCATTGTAAATGGTGATAAGAACACCCACAGCCTTATGACAGTTTTGAGAATTACTTTACTATGTGAGCACTTAGGACAGCACACACTATATAAGTGTTTATTATTCCTACTTTTTAAATGTTGAAATGCTCTACCTTTGAGAAAACGATGGTGATAGTAGATGGGAAGTTTGCTCTTGGTTTGGTTTTGGTTTTGATTGGTTAGTTGCTTTTTAATGTCTTTATATGACCATAAATTTAAAAAGCTGGCAAACTATGCTTGCCCTCCATTTTTTTATTGTACTCATCTCTGATATCTGAAAGTCTAAAAATCAACTGATAGACCCAAAATAGTAGCATTTTTCTCATAAACTTACTCATTCTCTCTCAAATACTCCAGCTTCTTGAAATTCCTTTTGAGGGCTTAAGAGTGCCTGGTATATAATAAGGACTATGTAAGATTTAGCCATTTATTATTATACACTTTTTCACACTTTTCCCAATTATCTTATTAGGATGAGTCCAGAAGAAGAATTACTAATTCAAGGGCATTGGTGTTAGAATTGTGATACCTGTTACTTAACTTTTCTACTGAAAGCCTGAACATGAGCCTGCCCACTTCCACACACGCACCATTTTCTCTCATATCCAGGTAGTAAAAACTGGATCAGTGTAGAGAGGATGAGGCACAGGAAAGCCTGCTGCTCTCATGCCTGCCTGAGCTCAGAATAGCTCAGAGGAGGTAGAGATGGGAGATGAGACGAGGTGGCTTACAACCCCTAACCCCCACAGGCACCCCATGCAGATCTTGTTCAAGGTAGAAGAAGATGTCATAAGCTGACAGCCACATCTGGCCCCTCTAAAGCTGGGCTGTGACTAAAAGGCTGAGTCCAGATGTCTTGCATATCACTTAGCCAGAAAATGAAAAGGAGAGAACCCACCTGTAAAATTCTTCTTTACATTTCAAGGATAAGTAGCCCAATGAGAGAAAAAGTTGCTTTTCATTTTGTCATGTTGCTAGTTAAAAGGTCGGTACAATTCAGGCCCTCAGTAATAGAGACAGTGTCATGATTTTCTAGCATGCTGTACTTATGTCCACTTTCTTCCCTCCCAGCTCTCCATACATAAGACAGATGACCCCATTGACAAGCGCTTCCTCATGGTGATGAAAGGGGCCCCTGAGAAGGTCTTAGAGAAGTGCAGCACCATCATGGTCAATGGCCAGGAGCAGCCTCTGAACAACACCACAGCTGAGGCCTTCTACACTGCATACATGGAACTGGGAGGTCTAGGGGAGCGTGTTCTGGGTAAGCTTTTCGTGGCAAAACCCTATGTGTCACCTGTTCAGTGCAAGGCTCTGTGCTGCGTCAGGGCACAAGATGAGACAGGCTGGCCATCCAGCAGAGTAGCTGTGGCCTCCACAGGACTCACAAGAAGAAGAATGGTATACAAATTAAGAGCATATCACATGATGGCAGCAAGGAGGGTGGGGTTGCTGCCAGGCAGGAAAATCTAGGAAGGTTCTATGGAAGGATTCCATTTAAACCAAGCCTTGAATGACAATATTTGAAGGGAAGTGGGGGATAGGTTTCATGGTGGAGGGAACAACATAGGCCAAAGCCCAGAGGTAGAAATGATGGTGGGGGGGTGGGGCCGGGGTGGTGAGCATTGTCAGGAAGCTGGTCAATGTGGAGTGTTGCAGGACTGAGATTATGTCATCATGGGAGGTAGGGCTGGAAAGATAGACTGGAGGTCAAGGTTTGGAGTGCCTTATGTGGGTGAGGAACTGGGTTTCATTTGGCAGTCAGGACAGAGCCACTGGAGGCTTTGCAGCAAATAAGCTGGTCAGAGTCGGTGTTTTCTGAAGGATCATGCTTGGCGGCATCAGGGAGCAGACAGGCCTGGGTCTCAGGAGGAGGTGGCTGCTCTCGTTCAGGTGACACAGGATAGAAATTTGCTCTAGGGCAATGGGAACATGAAGGAGATGTCAGTTACCAGAGACTTTTTTAGAGGAAGAATTGGTAAGATTTATCAACTTATTGGAGGAGAAAGTAAGTTTTTTAAAATGTTGAATTATTTTACTTAGTGATTATGGGCAAATATTACCAGTAACAGAAATACGGGATATTAGAGGTAGAAGGAACTATAGAAATATATTGTGGCAGGAACCTAATTGTGGTCACTTCAGTGATATCACAAAGTCCAGTGGAGGCCACAGCTACTCTGCTGGATGGCCAACCTGTCTCATCTTGTTATGAGAATCATGGGTTGACAGAGTGGCACCTCTGAACTACAGGATGATAAATTCAAGGTAACAAGTTCGTGGTCAATGATAAGGCTTAATAGACATAATGAAGGTTATTGCCAGTAGAGCGGAAATCTAAAGGATATTTGAGTTTGTAAAACAAGTAAAACATATAAATGAGATGATATGCTTGAAGTATTATCAAATAGCCCACATTAGCAAGTAGCCTTTTCAGGGCAAGACTGATACTTATCTAATTAGGGTCGTTCTAAGCACCTCACATTTGACCTCTTAGAGCCTGTGCTTTACTGAAACGTGTGGGGCATGCAGTGGGCCAGGATGAGAATAAATTTAATGTGAAAGCTGATGAGAAAGTCACATGATCTTGGAAGTCCCACCAGACACAGGAATCCCTTCACCTCAACCTGTGAGAGCCAAATAACGTCTGAGCCAGATATTGTCCGCGCCACTACTATTGGCCTTTCTCTCGATTAAAGACTGAACTCCGTACCATTCCCCTGATCCCCAGACCCTTTCCCCCATTTGTGCAGTAGCACGTGCTGTTTTTTCTTCCTAATTGGTCTTCCCACCCCCAAGTCCTCCCTAATGCCTCTCTCAAGAGTCAGCTCACATACGACCTTCTTGGTGAAGTCTTTCTTGACTCCCCAGGTGGCTGGAGTGTAGCTCTCGTCAATAACACTCACCATGCTCCATTATGCTTATTTCTTTATATCTCTGTCCCCACACTCAACTGGGATATCTTCAGAAGTAAAGGCTGTCCACTCTTGATTTTCATAACCCTAGAACCGTGGTCAGCAAACTGCGGCTCGAGAGCCACATGGGGCTCTTTGGCCCCTTGAGTGTGGCTCTTCCACAAAATACCACGTGCGGGCATGCACATACAGTTCGTGGCCCATGCGCAGAAATTGGTATTTTTGTGGAAGAGCTGGTATTTTGTGGAAGAGCCACACTCAAGGGGCCAAAGAGCTGCATGTAGCTCGCGAGCTGCGGTTTGCCGAGCCGCAGTTTGCCGACCACTGCGAGAACCTAATGGGCAAATGATTTTTTTTGGATGAGCTATATCTTTGCTTAAAACATGCATTATGAAATTGAAAGAATGAATTCTGATAGACTCTATTGGTAAAAGAATAAAGGACTGAGAGTGTATGAAAATGTCCTTCCTTTTCTCATGTCATTCCATGGGAGACACTGACTTCCAAATCCACACCCATTCCAGGTTTCTGTCATCTCTACCTGCCAGCAGACGAGTTTCCAGAAACCTATTCATTTGATGTCGATGCCATGAACTTTCCCATGTCCAATCTCTGTTTTGTGGGGCTCTTGTCAATGATTGATCCCCCTCGGTCCACTGTCCCGGATGCAATCACCAAATGTCGGAGTGCGGGGATCAAGGTGGGAGTTATCTTCCTGACTTAAGAAGTCTTCCATGGCCCTGACTGGTGAGGGTCTTGGGTTCAATTCCCGATCAAGGGTACATGGGTTGCAGGTTTGACCCCTAGGCATTGGGGTGTGTGCGGGAGGCAACCAATTGATACCTCTTTTGCACCGATATTTCTCTCTCTCTCTCTCTCTCTCTCTCTTTCTCTCTCTCTTTCTCTTTTTCTCCCGCTTCCACTCTCTCTAAAAATCAATGGAAAAATATCCTTGGGTGAGAATTAACAAAACTAAACAAAAGAAGTCCTCCATGTATGTGGTGTCCCTTTCTAAGGACATTTGTCAGAAGAGATAGTATTTAGGTCTCTTCAAGTAAATACCGTAACCCCCCCACCCCGCGCCTTTTTTTGGAGAAAGAGGAAGGGGAAGGGAGAGGGAGAGGGAGAAGGAAAGAGAGAAAGAGACAGAGAGAGAGAGAGAAACACCTATTGGTTGCTTCCCACAAGCATCCCAACCAGAAATCGAACCAGCAAACTGGGTATGTGACCTGATCCGGAATTGAACCCAGGACCTTTCGGTGCATGGGATGACAACCAGCTAAGCCACACTGCCCAAGGCTTTAATTCCTTTTTAAAAATCTCTACTTTCACTACATTAAGTTTTCAGTAACTGCAAATAAAAGCAAAATGATTATGTCTCTGTGAAATAAAGCACAATCATAACTGCAGTGAGAAGAAAGCTAACTCCCTGTGCCATGAAGTAGCCATATTTTGCCCTAGATGATACTAAACAATAAAAGATTTTATTATAAACTCTTGAGGTTCAGCCTCAGCAATCCAGTTGCCTTCATGATATCGAAACCAAAATCTTCATTCCATTACCATGTTAATATCAAGATTGTTGAAGCCACATGAGGCTGTCCCAGGTAGACAGCTACCAGACCTTTCACAAATACAGCAACATCAAAGGGAAAGGGCTTCCTCTAATCAGAGGAGAAATGCAAGAAGCTTAGAAGCAACGATAGATCCAGTGGGATCAGTGTGTCTTTCACAGACAGTTGTGTCTTTGATCTAAGATCAAGAACTATCCGTAAGAGCAGACCACAGTCAATGCTAACCATGTTCTACTAAATCATGGTAGAGCAGGTGATACGGAACTGCCCCTACTCTGGCCAGGTAGTTCCTCATTATTCCCATGCCTTTTTCCATGTCTGTGTTCTAGGTTATTATGGTTACAGGAGATCATCCAATTACAGCCAAAGCTATTGCCAAGAGTGTAGGTATCATTTCAGCCAACAGTGAGACTGTGGAAGACATTGCAAAACGCCTCAACATTGCTGTGGAGCAAGTTAACAAACAGTAAGTAAGCATAAAACCAGTGTTGCAGAAACTCAACTTCAGTGGGACACTGTGTTATTTAGAGAAAATCCCCTTTTTGCCAAACACTCTCTCAGGGTGATGCTAGGCTGGTTTCCTCTATAACTCATATATTCATTCATTCACTCATAATTTTATTGAGTACCTACTGTGTACCACAAAAATTACCCTTGTGTGAAATTTCAAAACCCAGTAAAGTAGATCTAAAATCTTATGTGCCTAATTTAGAGTGAGAAAATCTGAAACAAAGGGTTGATATGAAATTACTTGCCAGTGATCCAGTTGTACAATCTGGAATATTAAGAACCCTCTGGGTTTTGTGCTTTTTTTTTTTTTGAAAGTAAATATAAAGATAGTTTCCTAAGGAAAGACTCAGTTTTTCTTTGTGTTAATTCTTTCCACAATCAATTGTTGAGTGTCAGTTATGTACCAGGCACCTTGCAAGAAACTGGAACTATAGAAACAAACAGACAACATTATTCCCACCCTGAGGGAGCTTTCTTTCTTTCCATCTAATTGGAGGGACAGAAAACTCAAAACTGATTGTTATGATGAGTACAATGAAGGAGACACACTGGACTGAAGAGCTAGCAGTGTGGGAAGAGTTAGCTGATAATTTAAATAACTGAAGATTCTAGGTTACACTGGGAAAATAAATGTCATTGGCTTTATTATACTTTCACGCATGTTGGGGGAAACAGGGAAAGACCAGTGAACCAATTCTGGTTTACCCAAGTATTCATGCCTTTTAGGAATACACAGCTGTCGGGTAATAAATTATCACCAGGCCAGCAAATTACTAATTAAAACAACCAAACAGAATTACAACCTTTGGGCACTACAACAGTATGTGAAGGCTGTGTCTTCTCCTTTGTGGAAATAACATTCATCTATGAAAACAGGGTTAGAGCTTTTGTTTATTTGTTTTGTTTTTTAAAATAATAGGATTATACATTTTCATACAAGTCACTGCACTGAACAAGAAAGTGGGGTGGATACTTTTGTGAATGTTTTTAATTATCCACTTTATCAGCTCTAGCTTCATGCTCAGATAATGACTTTCCCAGCTGGAGCGGGGAGGAACCACCCTTTCCTTCTTATCTTGCTTTTATATATTCTTACCAGAATTTAGGAAGATTTGTGATTTAAGTCAAGTGCTAGAATTCCAGTTTTTAGCACCAGCATGAAAAAACAGACCTACAGAAAAAATCTCAAAACTTTAAAAATGTAAAGAAAAAGGCATGCAGTGTTTTGTACAGAGTATTTGAGCTGAGTTTTGAAGACTGAAAGGGGGAGTGTTAGTGAAGGAAAGATGAGGCAGCAAGAACTGTGCAAGCCTTTGGGCTGTGGAGAGCCTGTGGGCTTAGAACTGAAACACCGGGGACATGATATGAGGCTCAACAGCACAGGCTGCACCTGGCCGTGCCAGCTTCACCTGGGGTCTGCTCTAAGCTTAATGGAAAGAAAGCCTCTAAGAATTTTAACAGGGAACAACACAATCAGATCTGGAAAATCAGAGTTTTTAGAACCTTCCTTTTAGAGTAGCAGACAATAGTTTTCCTCAAAGAAGACCTCAATATATTTTTTCCTACCTAGCTCATTGCATAGTAGATACTCTATAAATCTGAAATAAACAACAACAGGAATTGTTACCCATGTTTTGGCATAAGCTGAATTCTAGGATCCAAAACATATAAACAGGCGGTGTTTTTTTATCCTCCATTTCCTTGTTAAGTAAAACATTGCCCAGGAAGTTTCACTTCTCACCCATTCCTATCAGGAAAAGGCTACTTGGTTATTCCCTATTGGGGAAAAAAAAATGGACTTCTTTTTTAGCCTCAGTTTACCATCTTGAAATGGAGACCAAAGTGTCCCCAGTATTCAAAATGCCTGTCATCCCACTCCAGTATTGGATATCAAGGACATTGGATTCCCAAGTGAAATCAAAGAGGCTTTAGTCCACATCCTGCCCAGAAGGGTGTTTCCGCCAAAGATCTGACCTTTGGCTTCATCCAGTTCCTTCTGACCTTTCTAGGGATGCTAAAGCTGCGGTGGTGACTGGCACGGAGCTGAAGGACATGAGTGAGGACCAGTTGGATGAGGTTTTAACCAGCTACCCAGAGATTGTTTTTGCCCGAACATCCCCCCAGCAGAAGCTGATTATTGTGGAGGGCTGCCAGAGGCAGGTGGGTGGAGATAGCAGTGCTCAAAGGACCTCCCAGTCCCTCACCGTCCTGC